AAGATGACAGAAAAAAACAACTTTAATGTGTCAATGAAACTGATAGAGCTATTCCACCAGTAGAATTATTGTAGCATTTTTCAGCTAGAATTAACTGTGCATTGAGATGCCTCATGTCACCAATTTTTCCTGTCCTCATTATACGGTATATAGTCAAAAGACAAAAAATTGTCTACTACCTAAACAAGGGCTTCCATACAAATATGATGCCCAACACCACGAATTCATTCACTTTTCCATTTTTTTGGCAATAATTCCAACTCCAATCTATAGTTATAATGCAGTATACCGAACATTAAAAGCTTCATGGAGAAAGGCAGCTTGTTATAAGATACATCAGGGAAAAAGAGAGATCATAAGCACATTAGCATGTGGTGGAAGTGACACAAGCTAAGCAGGAGGTATGGATGATCTGGGTAAGTGCCATGGAAAAATAAATATCATGATTGGACTTAAGGCAAATGGAAACAATTCATTTGGCTTCCTACAATACATTGTGGAACATATGATGTCCACATGTCCATTACCAACAAACTTCACCACAGAAAGGCCAGTGCTTTGATATATTGAAAAAACATCTATCCACCCCCAACCTCTTCCATACCACAGTAGCCTCAGTAAATATATCCACCACCAACCTCTTCCATACCACAGTAGCCTCAGTTACTGCAGCTTGAAAAGAAAGAAGATAAAAGGAATAAAAAAGTAAGATGTCTGTAGACGGTTGGTGGTATTTATCTGAAGTACCCCATCCTGTCACAAGGTGTTGATCCTGCTGGAGAAGGGTTAGGACAGGTCACCTGACTTGGGCTATTCTCCCTCTGTGGTGGGAGAAACACCATTCTCCTAGCACAAAAAAGCTAGCATTGAAGCATTCAATGGGTTTTTTGCAGAAGAGAGCACACACTTCCACAAAAGAGAGAGCACTTCTACCAGGAATATCTCTTTTCTCTCACACCAGCTCAAATGCCAATACACTTCTGAGAAGTCGTGAGGAGAACTATGGGATACAGAGATTCCATTAGGGATTAGTCAAGCCCTGCTGCCCCTGCCAGTTGCTTACTGACAGCCTTCCATGACAGGGGAGAGGGCAGGCTTTCAATCTTTAAGCTCCAATGAGGGTGAGGAGAACCTAAGGAGCAGCCCTCTGACCTCCCTAACTGGAGAGCTCACTTTGGGGTATCCAAGTAGCTCTCCAGCTGGAATGCCTGTATGCTCCAGCCCAAATCTATTTTTCCAGCGCTAAGAATTTCTCGGTGCTGTAACTAAACACCCACTTCAGTGAGATAAGCAGTTATGTCTTTACCCGAACTTCTGGGTGGAATCCCAAGGGAACAAATATATCTAGAGTATGTGCTGAACAGTTCTGGGAAAGGAAACATATAAACAACTAATCCTGGAGAGAAGATTTAATATGAAGCTGATGACAATTTATTGCCGATTTGTTTGTTAACAAAGCATGAATTTGGACTATGCATACTGTACAAACTAGGTCCGACTAAAACTGGGAAAAATGCTTGTTCAGCTTAGTAAAATATAGCTTCTTTATCTGCTAAAGAACGTTTGCTAAGGAAAACGTTGTCAGTGCAATGTAGTGCAGCTTGATTATTGCAAGGAAAAACACTGCTAGAATATCAAGAAAACTTCTATTTACCAATTTTCATTGAAGGTGTCTAGAGCTACTCTGACAAAAGTAGAACGGTCAGTGTCAAATTCTGTGCTAGAATAAGGTCATAATGCAAACAATAAAATGGGAAAGAAAAGTAAGTAAAAACACATGGTGACTTCATTCAAATTCAGATATATGTAAATAATCTTATCAAAATAGCATTGTGTCCCTACCATAACCTATCCTTGATCACAGTTATTTCTAGTGGCTGTTTCACCATTTTCAAAGGCAGTCCTCAGCCTGTTATCAATATTTCCCCCTCTGAGGTAGTATAGAGGTAAACACTAACATGTGAAGAACAATAGACATTGCCCCTGAAGTATGTCAAAGAATGCATCTTTATATAATGCTGCCAGCAGTGTGAACACAGTTAGACATCAAATGTGAGAGAAAATCCCAGGCCTCTGCCTGGATGGAAAAGAGTGCTACTTTTAGACTACTGGCTTGGCTGATGGTCATGCTCTTTACAACCACAAGGCAAATAAATAAGGTGGTTCCAGACCATATCAGCCTCAGATCTGCAAAAGAAATAAATGAAATACCACTCCTTAAACATATATATTCACAAATGCTGAACCATAAGTTTAAATACGTTACAAGTAGTACCAAGAAATATCACTGCCATTTTTCAACCTGAAATGCCTTTTTTCCTCCCTAATCTGAAACTCGGTACAATTTTTGGAGTAGCTAGAGTGTGGTTAAGGGAAGGAAGCTATGCTTGTTTGCATGGAATCTGCTATTTCCTCCCTGCCAAAACACTTGTTTAAAAAAGTCATGTAATATTCCTATTAAACTGTAAATGCAGTCGACAAGGAAATGGCCTACTGGCAGTGTATTACCTTTGTGGCAGTGCCAACCGGCCTACAGCAAAATAGTGCATATGATAATTTCAACAAGCATTCCCAAGTAACAAAATTGTGCTTTACATAAATACCACAGAACTCAAGCAAGATCCAGAAAAAGCAATGAAAATTTGCCCAAGCTTTCATGCTTGCCTATATCAATTGTATGTCATAACTAAAACAAAATAGGAAAGCATCTACATATGTCCAAGAATCCTGTGAAGTTAGATCATATAACTCTGGGAAAACTATTTCAACTTAAATCTGTGTATTTCTTGTTAACCACTGTAACAACTCACTAATAAAAATTAAGACAAACTGTAGGTATCAAATATACAAAAGAGTTCTAACTGCATACAAGTCCTTAAAGACCATAACACAATTTATTAACAAGAACATGTGTTCTGTGTAATCCAGAATTGTTATGTTAAATTACTTTGGCCTTTGATATCATTCATTTGATTACAAGAATTAAATGGATTCACAAGCCTTCAAATTCAAACAGTGACCTTTGGTTTATAAGCAGCTATTGTCATGCTTATAAAATCCTCCCTGATAATTTAGTCCTTACCTTTCATTACCTAGTGCAACTACATGAAATTATGTTAAAGTGAACCCAGATGTAACGAAGATGATTTCATTAATGTAAAAGAGTACAATTGAAAAACTCAATATAATCAAATCTAATTAATATGTAATCAATAGTGTTTCAGAATAGTTTTAAAATGTTAATGCATCATAAGACATTAAACAGAAACTTTGAAAAATATTTGTTTTGTTCGTCTCAGTTTTCATTTAAATTATTTCATTTCAGTCTTTAACTATAAAACAGCTAATTTGCTAGAAACAACAGCTTTGCCAAAAGTTTTATTAGTTGTCTCTTTAAATGCTATAATGTTTCAAACCACAAAACAATCAGTAGCTTTGCTTTAACTACTCACTAGCAAAAGTTACCGAGATCTCTGGAGAACATTC